CGCCGTCGGTGGGCGTCCGCGGCGCGTCGAGCCGCGGAAGACTATGGGCGCCGCGGGTGTGCCGAACCGCAGCATCAACCAGCACGAGCGCTTCAAGTCTGGCCCAGGTGTGCCGCTTTTCTCAGAGCGTGCGTAGTGTTGCCCCATGGGCAACAAAGGGGCGCGGTGCGAGGTTGTCCTTTTTGAAGTTGATGCCGATGCCCCTGGCCTCGTCGGCCCCGACGAGATGGCAGAGCGGGCGCGGCGGTCATTTTCAGGAACGGCGCGCTCGCTGCAGACGGCGCGACCAAGCCGGTCCCGGCTGCGTCCGGGCATCCGCGCGCGTTCCTGTTGGACCCCCCCCCCGCGCTGGTCGCCGGCGCCCTCCCCGTTTTCGGCGACGGGGCGGGCGGGGCGAGCTCGCCGACGGCATGTTCATTGGGGCAGCGAGCAACGAGGAGAAGGGCGATGGCGGCGATGCCGTGGCCGTTGAGGCCGTGGAGGAGGACGCGCATGAGGCAAACAGCAGCGATGGTGAGGACGCGGACGAGTCAGAGGTAGGCGCGCCCCGCTGCCGCGCCAGCGACCCAGCGCCCGCGGAGACGGAATCGAGCGACGAGAACGTCTCCACGGAGCGCTCGCTGGCGCACCCGCGGCAGCCTGGATCGGGCCGGGGGCTCTGATGGTCGAGGAGGTCGCGAACGAAAGGCGTCGGGCTCATCGGCAGGAGCAGGGCGCCGTGAGCATCGCCAGCGGGGACTCGCGCTATCGCGCCGCCCCCTCGTCGGGTGGCCTGGCGGCGACCCGGGCCCTGGGGGGTCGTGGAGATTCGCGTTGGCCGCCCTCTCGATCGTGGCGGCGAGCGTGAGATGGGGCGCCCGTCGGCCCATCGCATCGCCAACGCGCTCGGCTTTCTGGCCCAGGGCAGGCGCGATGCGCGAGCGCATTTGTTTGCAGCTGATTCCGACTTCGCGGCCTTGTCCCGCCTCGCGCGGCGCGCGGGCCAGCGAGCGCCCGCGCGAACGCGCCGACTGCGACGGGGGCGGAAGGAGCGCCGCATGCTGCTGTCGTTCGCAGACGAGGTGATGCAGTGGCAGGCTACAGGAGGACCGCGCGGCTGGATCCAGCGGGTTGCCGGCCATCGCGCCCGCGAGTGCTCGGCGACATCGTCGACCGCCCCCGGGACTGCGACGAGAGAGGTCTCGCGATTCTCTGGGCCCGCCGCGTGGACATCGCGCGCGAGCAGGTGTTCGCGCCCATGGGCTCTTCGTTCGCGAAGGGGCCCGGCTGCGAGAGCCAGATGGGGCCCCAGCCGTAGATCGGCAGCTCTACCTCAGGCTGCTCGTCGAGGCCATCTTTTATGGGGAACCGCCCGTGCGGGGGGATTGGAGGCGCGCGCGGATGGCCCCGGGGGCGTCGGTTAAGGTCGCGAAGTCGCTCTGCGACCATGCGCGCAAGATCGGTTGCTCGCCGGCGCCCTGGCGCGCCTTCATCGAGCTGCTAGTCGCCGAGGACTTGATCGAGCAGGAGGCCATCAACTTCAAGTGGCTGACCAACGGCCGCGCGTTCGCGGACGCGTTGGCCAAGGCCGCCGCAGTTCCCCCGCCAGGGCGCGTTCAGCATGGCGCCGACTGCCGAGCAGGAGGGTCAGGGGGCGCACCGTCCGCGGCTGCGCCGCGGACAGCCGGGCTGCCGCTCTAGGGCCTGCGAGCCAGCCAGGACCCGTGGCTGCAGCTGCAGGGCCTGGCGGCGGCCGCGGAAATTCGCGTGCATCGAGACGTGGCGGTCTGGGCCAATGGGTCTAGAGTCTAGACGTCTATGCGTCCGCATTCCATACTCGGAGCCTCAGGCCGCCCTGGCGCTTGAGGCGCCCTGGCCTGCGAGCCGAGGGGCGCGATGGCGGCGCGCGGCAATTGGCGCTAGTGAGGGGCGGCATCGGGGCAGCATTGTATTCGCCCTGTGCGAAGATCGCAGCCTCTTTGCCCCTCTCCCGCGCCTAGGACTGAGGATAGGCTGCGCAGTCAAATAGTTCCCCCGGAGCGTGTCAATTCATTTTCCCAGAGGCCTCTCTGGGGAGATGATTCTGGAGGGGGCCCCGCGCACTGCCCGCCGCTGTTTGGTCCGAGCCTAAAAGTCCCTGGGGCTGCGCCCGAATCTGGCCGCCGCGCGGCCCGCTTGAGAATTTTCTCGCTCGCGCCATGCACATGGCGCCGCCGTGGAGGCGGTGCTGTGCCTGCAGCGTTGCGCGCGTAGTATTGCGTTCATGGCATTGCGCAGACATCACTGCGCGCGTGTTTTTGGAGGGGAGGAGCAGAGCGACATGCTTGGCCAAATCATAAGATAATTGACGTAAGCCGTCGCGCTGAAGGGCGGGCCGTCCCCGATTGCATCAAAGGGCGGCTCGATCCAGATTGCGTCCTGAAGGACTACTGAATCACTTGTCCGTTCGGCGCCATGGACGTGGCACCGCGCTCGCAGCACCACGCACATGACACTACTTGTGCAGCACATGGCACGCACGCGGCGCATGGTTCCGCGCATAGGGTAACATGCGCTCAGCGTCACGCACACGGCACAAAGGAAATCAAACACGGCATCGCGCACACGTCTACGCATGTGGCATACGGCACCACGCACGCGACATCATTCTCATGTCACATTGTACACGGCACGAGTACACGTCACCATGCGCAGTCCATTTGGCAGTGCGCATTGAATTCGCATTGTTCTGGGCATGTTTTGTGGCAGATGGCCCCACGCACGCGGAACTCGCATTTGAGAGGCACGCATGCCAGTGGCCCCTTCCAATGTGCAGTGTGTGCAGCGGGGCCATGTTCATGGGACGTGATCTTTGTCCAGCAAATTCATGCGGATGTGCGGCCTTATCTTTCTTGCTGGGCACACTTACAGGAATCTGGGTTTGCATAGGGGGAGGGGAAAGGGGCTGTTTGCATTTGGGGGCCCACCTGGTCGCATCAAGTCTAGCTTTCATTGGTCTGTGCCTGGGGGCTGTTTGCATTGGGGGGCCCACCTGGCATTTTCAAGGCTAGCTTCCATCGGTCTGTGTCCGTTATGCGACGGCGTCGGTGGACAAGCTCACGCGTGAGACAATCTCCAGATATAACGTGCAATTCGGTCGCCGAATGGGCGGCACATGTTTGCGTTCGTCTCATAATTCGGTGCGTGCATGTTCTGGTACACCGGTGCAGGCCGCGGGCTGGTTCGGGGCGCCGCGTTCGGCTGTTTATTTCCGCGAGGCGAACTGGGCAGAGCTGGCCGCGCACGTTGAGAGTGCAACCAATGACGCAACGCATGGCAGGCCATGATCCTCGTGGCCGCCAGGTGCACATTTTTATGGCGAAACCAATGGTCGCCAGTTTTGTTGTCGACCGCCGACAGCGCAATCTTTTGCGCCACCAGTGGCAGGTCGTTTTTCTCTCGACCGCCGTTTGTTGTCCAGGTTCGGCAGCAGGGTGTGCAATCTATGCAGCCTGTGTCGCACACACTAGATGGCGCAAGCGTGGCGCAACCCGTGGCGCAACCTTTGGATGCCACAACCCATAACGCAACGGCGTAACACATGGATGTCGAACTCTGGGGGGCAACGGTTGGAGAAACCCATGGCGCAACTTGTGGGTGGCGCAACTCATGGATCGCGGAACGTACGGCGCAACCACTGGAGGGCACATTCTTGGCAGTTTCTGCGTTGCTACGCCCGGCTTGTGCTCGCTGTTGTAGCTGGCGGTGGCGCCTAAGCGGCGAAAAGTCTTGTGTTTGTATCGGTCCAGCTCGCGTTTCACACACCGCCGTTTTTTCTGTCAAATGTGAGAGTGAGAGAGAGAGAGAGAGAGAGAGAGAGAAAGAGAGAGAGAAAGAGAGAGAGAGAGAGAGAGAGCGAGAGAACGAGAGAGCGAGAGAGAGAGAGAGCGAGAGAGAGCGAGAGAGAAAGAGAGAGAGAGAGAGAGATAGAAAGAGAGAGAGAGAGAGAGACCGACAGAGAGCGATCGTGAAATGTAGCGACAACAGAACGGGTCTGCAGTCCTTTGGCGCTTCTTCGAGCGGGCCGCGCACGACCCAGCCAGCCCGCTGCACGATCGAGCATGTTTACGTGCCCCCTGCATTCTCTCTCCTGGCTGCCCCAACCGCTCTCGCCCGCAGTCGCAGGGACATGGTGACCTTGGGTGGCAAGTCCTCGGAGCCTGGTATTTGCTCGAATTCGTCTTCAGAGTGCATTCGCGTTCGCTAGCGATCTGGTAATCGATGAGGGAGCGCCGATTTAGCGTCGGTTCTCGTCGATTTAACGCACGTCGACTAGCGCCTGATAGCATCGAGCCGCAAGGACCAGCACGATGGCATGGACGGCTCCAGCGAGTTTCGCCACCGAAGGTGCCAGGCCCCCGACGTAATGTTTTTTGGATTTCTCAGAACGTGGATTCTTTCCCGGACACTGGTTTTCCATCCTGAGCTGTTTTTTTACGGTCCCGAGGCCTGGCAAGGGCCCCAAGGAGCCATACATGGCGAAAAACATTCTATCCTGTCTTTTTCTCGACGCGAGGGGGTCTGGGTACAGCAAGCCTCCCGTCCCGAAGGAGGAGGGGACATCATGAGCCTTGAGCTGGGGGTCGTTGCAAACGGGGGCCAGTCAGAGCGCCGGCTCTTGTAGGAGCCTGGAAAGCCGGAGGTGACCCGAGCCAGCGCGCAAGATGCTGCAAAGCCAGACCGACCCGGGCTTGCCGTGACCCAGGTCAGTAGATCCCCGAACTCGCAGGTGACTGTTCTCCCCCAATCCCCGAGCTTCGCCGGAAAAGGATGACCTCTCAGAAAAAGAGGGAAACCCTGGGATACACCCCAAGGAGGCTATTCGGACGCACCACTATCGAGGATGAACGCCCCCGAATCGTATATCCCAGGGTTGGGGCTCAAATTTTTGCTTCATGCGAAAACCCCACGACGTCTGGGATAGGGGTCGACATATGCCCTGTTACGAACATCGTTGCAGCGCGCGAGCCCGAGCCCTGCAGGTCTTGGCCGTGGAGGCCGTGGTCGGGCGCCTCGCAGACATCGTCGGGGCCGGGGAGGCGCTCGCAGCGGCTGCGCGCCCGGCTCTCCGGGCAAAGAGGGAGGAGCGCCTGCAATGGGGCTGCAACAGGGAAAGGGGAGAGGAGGAGGAGGAGGAGGAGGAGGAGGAGGAGGAGGAGGAGGAGGAGGAGGAGGAGGAGGAGGAGGAGGAGGGAGGAGGAGGAGGAGGAGGGAGGAGGAGGAGGAGGAGGAGGAGGAGGAGGAGGAGGAGGAGGAGGAGGAGGAGGAGGAGGAGGAGGGACGACGGATGAGAAACGGAGGGAAGAGGGACGAGCACTTGCTGCTGCTGCTGCTGCTGCTGCTCCCGCTCTCTCTCTGCGCCGTGCCGTCATCCTCAGCGCAGCGTTGTTTATTAGCCACACGAAGTATTGATGATCCGTGCTTCGTGATGCTTTCCATCTGAGCTCGGGAAAGCCGCCTTCAAAGGTTGCGGATTTCGTTCTCTTGTCCCTGGACGGGCGTCGTCCGTTCTGGCTCTTGTCCAGCCCTCCCCTCTGTGGCCTGCGCCTCCCCATCAAGATCAGCAGTGGCCCGTGCTTCTTGAGGCGTTGCGAGTCTCGAACATATGGGTGTGGTACATGTATTGGCCAACGTTTGTAGAATTCTGCCCGCCCCGCGGCCAGCCGGCGCGGCAGCGCTGGTTCTGTCTTGATCGCACTCACGAGGTGCGCCGTTCGCTCCCGCTGATTGGCCAGGCTGCTGTCGGGCTGTGCCATGCACTCGCTGCAAACAGTTCTGACCACGTCGATATTGCGTCCATCGAGTGGCACGCCTGGTGAAGCCCAGCGCGTTGCATGGCCCTCATGTCTTCCTCAGCCAATCGTCCGCGCACACGAGCTCAAGAGCGTGCAATTTGGGACACAATCCCAGGAGGGCCCAAGACGTTTCGAAGCAGCGCAAGAGGGCCCAATAGGCTTCCACAACGCCCTGAAGACGCACCCGTGAAGTTTCAAGCACGTCCCGACGAGGCCACCTTCATTTGCTTGCTACCTCGCCCGCCTACTCGCCCGCCGCCCTCTTCGCGAGGAGCGTGTGCAGTGGGACAACGTGGTCCTGGAGCACGTCAGGAGGGCTCTTCAGGCGCGGTCCCTCAGCGTCGACCAGCAGGTGAGCGCGGCTCGCACAGGTCAGACACGGGGTGGGGGGAGGGTGCCGCGAGCCGGACGCCCACGCCGACGATTTGGGGCCAGCGGGAGCTCCAAGTCGACGCGAACCTTAGCCCAGCTGGGGTGAGCTGCAGCCAAGACGCTGACATAGGGAGCTCTTCGGTTTTGTGATGGGGCTCTCTGCTCCTTAGATCCTGCGTCGTGCATGCATGCGCATTGGGGCCAAAGAGGGGCTTCGTGCCTTATGGAGCGTTCCCAGCGGTAGTAGCTCGACCGTACGGCAGCCATGACCCCTGGAGACCGCCCCGGAGAGTTTGCTTGACCTCTCTCGGGGGCGAGCCCCTCCCCGAGGCGCTACTCAGGGTGCGAGCTCCCTCTCCGCTCCTGCTGGCCCCGCGCCCCCAGAAAGTCGTGGGCTGGCAAGCCTGTGAGGAGCAAGCTGGCGGCGACTGTTCTGCGCGCCGCAGGGCCTGAGCCTCTCGGGGGCCTTCTCGAGGAGGAGGAGGATGAGGAGGAGGAGGAGGAGGAGGAGGAGGAGGAGGAGGAGGAGCAGGAGGAGACGTGCAGGTCCTGGCAGAGGGGGTCTCGACCCTCGCGTACTTCGAGCCTGGGCTCGCCACCTCGGAGTGTCCCTCGTTCTGGGGGCCTCGGGCCTTCGGCGACGCTGGTTTTGTTGCTTGCTGTTAGCCCTGGTGCTTCGGTTTTGTGGCAGGTTGTGTTTCCCAACCCTCCCTTGGTTGGGCTCTCGTTTTGAATAGCTCAGTGTGGACCCCACCTCCTCCTCCTCCCTGCTCCCTTTCCCTCCTCCCCGCCTCCCGTCCATCCCCTCCCATCAGCCTTCTCTCTTTCCTTCTTAGTCGTCCTTTCCCTCGTCGAGACCTCGCGGGCCCTGCAGGGCTGCGAACCGCGCAACTGTCGCAGCTTTCGTGGGCTCCTGGGCGGTCCAGCGGAGTGGAGGTCCACGCGGACCTTCCGGGACCTCGCGGTGTAACCGTCGCCATTTTCGTGGGCTCCTGGGAGGTCCAGCGGAGTGGAGGTCCACGCGGACCTGCCGAGACCTCGCGGCTCCCAGGGGGCTGCGAACCGCGCAATTGTCGGCTTTTTCGTGGGCTCCTGGGAGGTCCAGCAATGTCGGCCTGGGCTTGGGCGTGGACTAGAGCCTCTGCGAGGACTCTTGGCGAACTAGCGCGCCGCCTGCTTGGCCCAAATTTGGTCAGGCCAATAGCGTCTGTTCTCTGAGCTTACTGTTAGTTTCACGGGGGCCTGTGGTTGCGGAAGTGGCTGCTCTTTGCGAGCTAGAGCGTTTCCCCATGCTGGACCCAGCTTCGGTCTGAACCCTTGTGCATCCTTTTTTGTGTGCCTGTGAGTTGCATCTCGCTCGTCTTGCTTGCAGTTTTTCACGGGGGCCTGTGTGATGGCGGAAGTGGCGGCTCTGCGTGAGCTAGAGCACCACCCCAGGTTGGCCCAAGCCAGCCTCCTGCGCGCGTGGTCGCGCAGCTTGTCCTGGCCTCCTTCCCGCCTCGTCTTCGTCTCTCCTCGGCGTCGGGTGATGCGAGCGCGCTTCTTACGGCCGTGCAGCACGCCCAATCCCGACTGCCTGGGGAAACCGTTCGCTGTAAAGCGGTCTGGTACGGCGATGAATTGCCTCCCCACTTCCGCTTCGCCCCTGCCTGTGCCAGCCGTTCCTGCCTGGTGTTATTTACATCCCTCTCCTCCCCCGTCGTCGTCGCCCCCTCCTCCCCTTGCCGCCCCCCCCTCCTGGAGACTCGGCCTCCCGTAGGTTCTCATACGCTGATGCTACGAGCGCGCTTTTCTCGCTCCTGTCTTCCTCGTCCCTCTCTTCTTCTGTCGTCGTCATCGTGGTCGTCCCCGTTTCGCCGTTCCGTTTTCCTCTCTTGGGTTCCCGATTTTTCGGCTTCGCCGGGTGGCCCAGCCGCGCGCGTGGTTGTGCAGCTTGTCCTGGCCAATGTCCCTCTTCGTCTTCGTCTGTCCCAGGAGTCTGGCCGTGCGAGCGCTCTTCTTGTGACCGCGAGGCACTGCCCATCCCGACTGCCTGGGACAGCCGCTCGCTGTAAAGCGGCTTGGCACGTCTATGAACTGCCTCCCCACTTCCGCTTCGCCCCTGCCTGTGCCAGCCGTTCCTGCCTGGGTGGGTCTCGCTCCTGCCCCCTCCACCCACCGTTTCTCCCCGATGTTAGATGCACCATAATTGGAGTACCACGCCTACCTGGCGGTTTCCGTGCCCTCGGGAAAAAACGCGTGACGTGCTAGCTTATTCTCACGCGTGTTATTTGGAAGCTCTTTGTGCAGCGCTGTTGGGCCGCGAGGTCATGGTGCACCCTGTGGCGCACAGGGCCAACTAGGCAAGCCAAGGGTCTTGGGCGAGACCGTTCTGGGTGGATCAGGGCTGGGAGGCGGGGCCGTCAGGGCAGGTTCCCGACAGTGGCAGATGGGGTCACGAACGGATGGAGATGGGGTGGCCATGCTTCTTAGCAGGTGGTGTTCATCTGAGGCCGCCTGGGCGCTGTATTAGTCAAATGTCCACCTCCCAGGGGCCCAGCACTTTTGTCACACTTCCAACCGCGGACGTTGAGGGGGATGCCTACAAACAGCCTCCTTGTCACCAACCTGGGCCCCCTCCCCTCTGCTCTCGGACCTCGCCTGAGCTGGGGGCCATATGGGCCCAAGCGTCTGGCGGCGAGACTGCGGCCGAAAGGATTGAGCCGTCGGCCCCCCCAGACTTTCGTGAAGCTCCAGGAGGGCCCCCAAGAGGGGGCCCTGGTGCTCCCCGGATAAGGGCGTGGGTTCGCGTGCCCAGTTCGGGACGTCGCTTCTGAAAAATGGCGCGCCGATGGGCTTTGATGTTTTTCCCATTGCGGTGATAGTAGGATTGCTCGACTTACAGTGTGCATGCCAGCGTTCTTCCGCGCCTTCTCTCCCGTCCTCCTCGTCCCTCTCTTCTCCTCTTGTCCTCCTCGTCCCCCTTTCGCCGTTCCATCCTCCCCTCCTGGGTCCCTCCCCGAAGCGCGGCTTCGCCGGGTGGCCCGCCCTGGCCGCCCTGTTGCTCCCCCTTCCCCCCCTGCCTTTGTGTGGTGCCTCCTCCTCCTCCTCCTCCTCCTCCTCCTCCTCCTCCTCCTCCTTCCTCCCTCTTGCCTCCCTCCTCGGCTGGCTCCTTCCCCTCTCCGTGGCTTGCCTTGCCCTTGTGACTTGCCATGTCTCCTCGCTTCCCCTCGGCTTCCCCTCCTCCGTCGGTCGGCCCGTGTCCTTCGCGCCCGTCCATCTCCTTCCTCGGCGGTCCGCCGTCGCTCCTCGCTCCCTCGCTTCTCCCTCGCTTTGCTTTGCCCTCCTTTCCTTGTCGTCCTCGTTCGGGCCGCCTTGGCTGGAGCATGCTGCCCCGGCGCCTCGGCGCCGCGTCCGGCCACTGCTCCGTGAGGGGCCAGCCGCCCTGCCTCTGCTTTGACCTGTGCGCGCTCGGGCACCGGCCGTGTGCGTGTGTGTGTGTGTGTGTATATGTGTGGGGGGCGGGCGCCCCTAGCGGCCTTGGTGGAGCTCCCCATGGAGCACGATCCGTCAGTGGTGCGCCGGAATGAGGGTGGAGCCGCACGCGGGGGCCCCCATTGGAGCCGTAGTCGGTCCCTTGTGTTGGCGCGGGGCGTGTGAGGGGGGTGCCGACATGGGCTTTGGGGCCGCATGCGTTGGGCGCCCTCACTGGCGCCGCAGGGTTCTGGGAGGTGTCCTAGATGCAGCGACCTTTCGGGCACGAGTTGTGCGGTGGCCAGAAGGCGCAACAACTGGGGCAACACAGGGGACTGGCCCTAGATCCACAGCCATAGGGCGACATGGCAGGAACCAGAAAGTGCAACAGTTGGGATATCGTGAGGCACTACCAGTCATAGAGCAGCACCGCGGGAACCATTAGTCGCGAAATGAAATGTTTGTTCTTTCTGAGCTAAGAGAGGACCTCGTAGTACAAGCGCTGCTCGGGGAATCTAATACACTACGTAGATTACTCCACGCTGCTAGCACCGCGTACCTTGCTATGACATCACATACAACGTATCTTGTTTGCACCACGCACACATTTCGCAACACAGATATCGTACATCGATAATGCCAGACTCTTTTGTTTGGGGCCCACGCGCGTGCAACACGTCAAACTAGCCAGCTGTCTGCAGCAAGCCCCGCCACCTGCCAGCGCAGCAGCGTAGCAGAAATGATGTTGAGTTCAAAACCTGTTACACTTCAGTGCCCTGTCTGAATTGGTGCAGATATCTTGGAGGCGTCTTGGGTGCTTTGGGGGGGCCTCTTAAGGGCAGACTGGGACTTTCCAGGGGGCGCCCAGGGGACCCCTCAAGGGGCTGGCGGGGGTCTCGGGGCTATTTTGGCGCGACGGTTCTACCAGCCTCTATGTACCTACGATGCTCGGCTTGAGGATGAGGCGGTGGCGAATGACCCTCAAGATCCCGCCAGGTAAGGACCACGTCGACGCCGAGCACCTTGGGCTATGGGCGCTTGCCGACGTGGCCCGGGACCAAGCGGCATTCGCCGCGGACGCCTGCTCTCGGGCGAGGGCCGCGGTCGAGGCCGCGAACTCAGCGCGGGACGAGGCCGAGAAGAGAACCGAGGCGCAGAAGCTGCGCGTCAAGGACTCGCGGCGGAGAGTCGACTCTTTCGGGCGACTCCTCGCCCCCGCTTCCCCCCGCTGCGGGCAAGATTTGTGTCCATGTCCACTGCGTCTTGGAAGCCCATGCCAAGAAACACCCTGCTTGCCTCCAGGGTGCCCTGGGTTTCTTGGGTTTTGGACGTCCTGGGGTCTCAGGGTTGGGTTTCTTGTGGGAGGTTTCTTGTTGTCGAGCTCCTACTGTATGGATGAGCGCTGTTACCTTTCTACCCATGTCCACTGCGCCTCGGCCTTTGTGCGCCCCTTACCCCCTTCCAATTTACCAAAACCACGCAAGGATTTCAATTCCCAATTCCGCAATCATTGCCAGAACATGTTGCATTAAGTGGCAGCAGACATAGATGTGCTTGGGGCAATCCAGGTATATGGTTGGGGTAATCCATATAGTTGTACAATTCCTGTTGAACGCGGTCGTTGCGAAAACGAAGGCAACTCGAGTGTTCCCCTCCAAAGGGCTGTTCGGACGCGCCCCTCTCGAGGATGCATGCCGCCCCATCGCATATCCCCGAGCGTGCCCCCCCCCCAAAACAATTAGCCTGGCGAAGGACCCAACCATATGCAGTTGTGACTACCGCATGCATGAATATCGTTTTCGGTGGTGCTACCTCTGGGTAGGGGAGACGCATGCGAACACCCCCACTGGGGCCTTCGGTGGAACCGCATGCGGGCACCCCCACTGGGGCCTTCGGTGGAGCTCGCTATGGGGCCACGAAACGCTGCCCTGGGTGGGGGAACCGCATGCGGGCCCCCCCACTGGGGCCTACGGTGGAGCTCCCTATGGGGCTACGAAGCGCTGCCCTGGGTGGGGGAACCGCATGCGGGCAGCCCCGCTGGGGCCTTCGGTGGGGCTCCCTATCTGGCTACGAAGCGCTGCCCTGGGTGGGGGAACCGAATGTGGACACCCCCATTGGGGACTTCGATGGAGCTCCCTATGGGGCTACGAAGCGCTGCCCTGGGTGTGGGAACCGCGTGTGGACACCCCCACTGGGGCCTTCGGTGGAGCTCCCTATGGGGCTACGAAACGCTGCCCTGGGTGGGGGAACCGAATGTGGACACCCCCACTGGGGCCTTCGGTGGAGCTCCCTATGGGGCTGCGAAGCGCTGCCCTGGGTGGGGGAACCGTATGTGGACACCCCCACTGGGGCCTTCGGTGGAGCTCCCTATCTGGCTACGAAGCGCTGCCCTGGGTGGGGGAACCGCATGCGGGCAGCCCCACTGGGGCCTTCGGTGGAGCTCCCTATGGGGCTGCGAAGCGCTGCCCTGGGTGGGGGAACCGCATGTGGACACCCCCACTGGGGCCTTCGGTGGAGCTCCCTATGGGGCTACGAAACGCTGCCCTGGGTGGGGGAACCGCATGTGGACACCCCCAACTGGGGCCTTCGGTGGAGCTCCCTATGGGGCTGCGAAGCGCTGCCCTGGGTGGGGGAACCGCATGTGGACACCCCCACTGGGGCCTCCGGTGGTTCTCCCTATGGGGCTACGAAGCGCTGCCCTGGGTGGGGGAACCGCATGTGGACACCCCGACTGGGGCCTTCGGTGGAGCTCCCAATGGGGCTACGAAACGTGTGAAAGGTGTGCCGAGAGCAGAGGCAAGGAGGGGGAGGAGGGAGGAGAGGGAGGAGGAAGGAAGGAAGGAAGGAGGAGACGCGTGGCACCGTCTCTTCCAAACGAGGACCCAACACCACAGGATGGTTGGGAATTGCAGTCGCTTCGAGAAGGAGGGCAACTCGGGGGCTCACCCCCGAAGGGCTGTTCGGACGCACCCCTCTCGAGGATGCATGCCGTCCCATCGCATACCCCCGAGCGTGGCCCCAAATGCTTTGCCCCGGGCGAGGATCCCACAGGAGTCGGGGACTGGGCCAGCCATACCCCCAGTCAGATTCCCCCTAGTCTTCCTCCCGTCGAGCATCGTTGCCCGCGCATGCCTGCACTGCAGTAGGCACGTCACATAAGAAGCATGCCTGCTTGCAGGTGCACCACGCAAATTCTTACGCTAGCGACACCTTAGGAAGTCGAGGGATCCACGAAGAACGTGCCCACATGTATTCCTGTCAGTAGCAAGGGCTCTTATTGTGTGTGCCCGCTGACGCATCGGCGATTGGCCACCGCAGCGAGTCATCGATCGTGGGGTGACGCTGACCTCCGCTGCCTTCTGAGAAGGCCTGTTCCCTCTCGGACGCCTGGTAGTTTTGGGTCACAACAGGCGCGCCGCCGATGGACGCGGCCTGCAGCGATGCCCGACGTCGGACGTCGAAGAAGGCAGGCGGCGTGAACATGAACCTTCGGAGCTCCGCCCGAGTTTCTTGGATCGGCGTTGGGGCCCCCCTGGCGGCGCCTCCCGCGCCACCCCTGGCGCGCGGAGCGTAGGGCGCCTGCCACGAAATTGGGGCTGCTGGTCGCGGCGTGCACTCTCCACCGCCAGAACATCTCCACATCCACCGCTCCGGAGTGGTCCCCAGGACACGACCCCCCCTCTATAGATATATAGACACATTCTGGCGGTGCACACTCATTCCCGACGTCATGCGGACGCTGGCGTCAGACGCTGGTTTGTCGTGGCACTGGTCTTACTTGGCATGGGCCAGCCGCTGTCGGCCGACATCCCCGCGTGTGTGCATGAGGACGGTCCTTTCGCGCTCCTCGGGATCAACTCATCCAGGAATTTGCGATGCTCGTCAGCGCGATTGGGGCATTGCGATCCCGCACAGTGTCGAAGCAGCCAGGCGCGAGTACGATACCCACGCGATTGCATACAATTCATGTGGCTTACGTGCGCCATTCCACCGGCCCCCAGAAGCGGTGACATGTCAACCGAACACGCCAGGCTGAGGTTGTACTTTTGCCGCCCACAGGGCGGGAGTCCTGGTGTGCGGTCGCATGAATATTCGGAGGCGACCCCAGAGCGTTCCATGGCATTTTCATCAAGTTTTTTTCCTTAAGGAGTTTGGTACGTGGGGTGGTGGTGGTTAAGGAATGTGCCCAGGAAGCTTCAGACCCTGGAGGATCCTTTATCTGATGTGGGCCGCGATACTATACATGGCTAATCCACGATTGGAGTTCCACCGGCACCCAGGCCCTGGATTCCTTATCCAGCGGTTCCTGATCCAATGCCCTCACCGTGCACGGAAACAAGCAAAGTAATATTCCATTTGCGAGTGTTGGGGGCACCCTCGACTCGCGCGTGGGCGAACGTTTGGGCCCGTCTCCAGGGGCGCTGCCAGGGCTCTCCTGCGGGCCTTCTGGGCCATCTTGGGCTCTCCTGGGGCGCTCTTGGGGTCCTGTTGGGGCCCCTTGGGGCCAGTTTGGTGCCCCAGTGGGGGGTCTTAGGCCCGTTTTGATTCCCCTTGAGGGCAGCTTGGGGCCAGTATTGTGGCCGTCTACTGGGGTCTCGCGGTAGTTTTGGGGCATTCTTGGTCTTGGGCAGTTTTGCGATTGCTGTGGGGTTGCCCCGCAGGCCAGTTCGATCCATGGGGGCATCTCAGGGGCATCTCGGGACATGTGGTATCATTTTGTGGCTGCCTGGATGGCGTCTTGGACCTTCGTGGAGACCTCCGCAGCCCATCGTGGGGCTGCGACGAGAAGAAACCTGGGCATGTTGCCAATTTCTCTCTACATGCACACACAATACATTTACACACGCACACATATATGTATGCAAATTAGTTCGCGTGGTCCCCAAACAACTTGTTTCCAGCAGTCGGTGTTAGGCAATCTATGTTGTGCAACCTCGGTTGTGCAATCTATGTGGTGCAATCTATGTTGTGCAATTCACTGACCGAACTTGAGCTGTCAACTCCACTGCTCGCGCAATCATCCCACCCACCCACCCGCAACTTGGTTTGCAAAACCCATGCGGGACCGAGCACAGATATCGCTCCGGGGTCGTCTTGGAGCCCTCGGGGGCGCCTCAAGAGCGCTCCAAGAAGGCCGGAGAAGCAAGACGGCCGACGACCACGACGACGACGACGGCGGCGACGACGACGACGCCGACGTCGACGACGAAGACGACGACGCCGACGCCGACGACGACGACGAAGACGACGACGACGTCGCCAACGAAGACGACGACGAGGGAGGAGGGAGGACGACGACGGCGACAACGACGACAACGACGACAACGAGGGAGGAGGGAGGACGGCGACGACGCGAAGGACGAAGACGGAGGAATCACGGCGACGCCGACGACGACAACGACGAGGGAGGAGGGAAGACGACGATGAGACGACGACGACGACGACGGCGACGAAATAGGAGGGACGACGACGAGACGCCGACGACGGACGACGACGACGACGAGGGAGGAGGAGGAAGGACGACCACGGCGACAACGACGACGGAAACGACCACGACGCCAAAGAGGACGACGACGACGAACACGAGGAAAGGCAGAGGACGACGTAGGCGACGACGACGACGACGCGGGAGGAGGGAGGACGGCGACGACGACGACGACGACGCAAGAGCGCGCGCGCGCACGCTTTTGTTGAAAATCTGTGTTGCGAAACCGTGTGTTTCTGTAGGTTTTTTGGACACACGATTTTGAAGTCCTTCCAGAACCGATGGGTTTTGAATGATTTCGGCATATTGTACGCGCGCGACGACGCGCGCGTCTGCACTTCGTCCCGTTTTTTGCAGAGGAGTCTCGCGACGGCACACGCGCAAGGGCGTTCGACAGATTTCGACATGCGCGACGCCCGTAATGGTTTCCTTAAGATTTCGCAAGAGTTCGCGCGTAAGCTTTTTTAGCAAATCAGCGTTGCGAAACCCTGTGTTTTTGAATGTTTTTGGAAACTCGACTGCGAAATCCTTCCGACACCGAAGGTTTTTTGAAGGATTTCGGCATGCGCGCGCGTCGACTCGCGCGTGTGCACTTCGTCCCGTTTTTTGCAAAGGGGTTCGCGAACAAGTGCTATGTTAGAACCAACAGATGTCACCGCATAGTGTTTTTTATACTAGGGAACCTCA